TGGGCAGCTGAGCCCTGCTGAGGTCTCACTGCGCGCTTTGGGTGACGTGGGTGATGGAGGTGTGAGCACTGGAACGTGGAGCTCCCCACGGGGCTCCTGGAGGCCCTTGTTCRCCCTACGTTGTTGCCCCCGTGGGCACCGGTGGGCGTAGGGTGTTGAAAATCACCTCAGAGCTTCGTGCGTGGGGCGCAGCGCCCCTTGCAGGAGGTGGCAATGGCGCCCACGGCCTTCCTGCAGGCGTCCATCTCGCAGCAGCAGGGGACAAGAYGGGCTGCAGATGGCCTCTGCAGCCCTGTCTCGAGTTTCTGCCTCCTTTGCCCATGATCCAAATCAGGAATGATCAATTAGAGGATAAAAAAAAAAAAATCATTTAGATCCTTTTCGCTTTTTAATTTCTTTTAACTGGTCGCTCTTTTGATGCCTGACCAGGGGCAATTGGGAACACTGCAACTAATCTTCRCTTTACGTTTGTGTGTCTCTTTTTTATATGTCTATATAAGGAGCTTAATTCTAACAATTCAGCCTCTTCCTTGTTACTAAAGGGCCACCCTGACTCCAAAGCAGAATCAGGGCTCAGGATTACCTTCACCTTCCTCACATTTCCTTTCCTGGACTTCTTATATCCAGAAGGGTGGCTCACAGAGAAAGGAGATGGCTGCTGGTAAAATGTTTCGTGCCTGTTGTCTGCTCCTCTTCCTTTCAGGCTGGGAAATTCAATCCTCCTACGAGTTCAGGTCAAATAGTAGTATCCTTTATAGTAAGACAGTTTTTTAAGAAGAAGCTCAATATTTTATAGCCTTGTAAGGTGCTCTGGAAAGTTCCTGAGGCAGGAGGGGAGAGTCCTGTGTGCAACCAGAGGAGAAAGATCTGGCCTTTCTCTTCTAGCTGTGAGAAATGAAAGAGCCACTGCAGAGCAAGGGATATGAGAACTTAATAGATTCTTGGAAAATACCACATTGTTTCTCTCATAGTTCAACTTTTCTCATAGTCTGTTAAAAGACCCCAGTGTTAGGAGAGCTTATAAATGATTTTCATGAAGTTTACTKTCTGGTTTTTCAGATTAAGAAGATTTAGACAATAGTAGACGAAAGTAGTTTATAAATCACAGCAATAATCTGGTGTAAATTCAGTTATGGAATATTTTAGGATAAACCCCTTGGCTTCATTAAGAGCTGAGATTGGCCTAAAGCAACTTCCTAGGAGATCTTTGGGTGTTTTGTGTGTGCTTTTGTGTTGCTTATTCATCCATAGCTTACCAAATAAAAAGTCCCTTTGAAGAATACTAGTATCCTAAATTCAGGATTAAATTATACCTTCAGAATAAAATTATACCTTCACACTACAAATGAAAATGTTATAGAGAACGAGAGTCAGATACTCGTAACACTGATTTTTTTATCTGGATCTATAAGTAATAAAATGACAAAGGAAGAAGTTGTTTCAGACAGGAATTTCAGAGTGCTGCTTATAGGTTTTCTTCTATAGATGTTATGATTTTGTTCAAACAGGCCATATTGAATCCATTGGTTTTTTGTAATAGATTTCAAAATACATAATAAATGTAAGTAATATGATGACTAATGGGTCAAGTGAAGTTGGAACATTTTAAATGAGAAAATAGCTGGAAACAGTTTTCAGGAAACTATTCCAGTTGATTTTCGGTCCCCCACAAGGTGTACGTTAACATAAACTCCRTAGAATCGCCTCTGGGACCTAAATTCCCTCTCTGATTTCATTACTGCAATGTGATTCTTTTCCTTTCACTGTTAAGTCATCTCCTGGTGTGGTGGGAGCATATAATAAGTGTAATTTATTTATATGTATCTAATCTCCTTTTAACTCAATGGTTATTTCATCATTCTGTTTCCTAGTAGCTGTTTGGAAAGTTGTGAAGGGTAATTAAAGACTAATAATTGACAGACACGGGTTTTCCTTGATAATCTAAAGAGATGTAGTGAAGAAATAAATAGGCAGAACAGTTCACATTCCACATTTTTATAAAAATATTGATTTGATATCATCTAGTTCAGTTTGATTGATAAACAGAAATAATTATCTTAATTTGTTTACAAATACAGGAATTGCTTTATTATTTGCTGTCAATAGCTCCATCTGACAAAATTTGGTATCGCTGTTACGTCTTAAATCTAAAGCATGGGGTATCACTGTAGGAGTGAGTCCCTAGCAGGCAAAGTGATCCAGTGGAGGAGTTGCAGGTGGCTTTAAGCCACTTTTGCCCTGTCCTGATTCTGATCTAGTTTTGGACAAGGTGAGGAGTGGGCAGAGTGCACTTGTGTCCAGAATCTATGCTGCATTGTGTGGTGTGCTAGGGTGCTTAAAATCAACTGCAAAGACTGGTAGCCCTGGTTTTGAACCATGGGAATTTCATTGCAGCTGTATCCAAGTGACATTTTTGCATTGTAACCTCTGTCTTTTGCCCATTTTGAATGATTAGGGAAGCTGCTGAACATTTATCTTCGTCAGCTGCTATAAATAGCTCTTCATATTTCATCAGTTTTCACTTTTCCTGTCCATCACTGAAATATGTTTTTCTTAGAAAGAATGTTAGTGTTTCTTTTACAGTGCTGAGTATAAAGTGTAAAACAGGACAAAGACTAAAAACATGTTGATTGCTCAATTGTTTTTTTTTTTTTTTAACTTTTTTACATAAAATGCCAAGGAATCTCATTGAATGCTCTTTTCCCAGTTGTAAAAATAACCTATGTCATTATGAGATAGTTAAAGTATTTTTAGTAGAGGTTCCAATGTTACATTTTCTGCAATTATGCCTCTGGCTGCCACAGCTTTCTGTCCAGGCTGATTCACTGCACAATAAAAACCTAACATGAAGCTTTTCAAGCTGTCATCCGTGACAGCATTTTTGCTGTGTGACGCTGTTCAAATGCACTGTTCCAAAAAGAAAAACAGGGAAGCCATTTGCATTGCCTAAGGCTCTGGTGTTAATTTTTTTATTGCTCTGTTATCCACCTCCTCTTCACGTCTTTCTCAGTCAAATCAACAAGTCCTATCAACTTACACCCAAGCATTTTGAGTCTGGAGGCGTTTGGATGTTTTTTTCTCATTCGCTGAGGCTGTGCTACCAAAGGAAACCAGTAGAAATAAAATACACCTTTGGCATGGAAAAGCAGTTACACCAATCAGTAAGGGTCCTTTCCTTATATTTACTAACCTGTATACTTAATTATTTATCAAAACCAAAATATATTTTATTTTAGACCTTTTTTCCCACTTCACTAACAAATCAAAATAATTCCATAAGGCACATTTTTCAGAAATGCTTCAGTGGTTGAGGAACCTAGAAATCCTAGAGTGAGTTGAATTTCCAACTCAGGGGACTTTTAAAAATGCTGCTCACTTGTTGCTATTAATGTTTAATTGGAAAAACTTTCTTTTTGGCTGGATGTCATAAGTAAATATTCATATAATAATGTCACATGAGTCTCTACTTTCTTTGTAGCTCTCTTTTACTCCAGTGAAAGAGAGGAAAGAACCAATGATTCATGTAAAAAGGCAAGGTTTTGGATAGTGCAAAGAGCAGTGGAGAGATTACTCCTGGGATTTTCAAAAGCATTTGAACCTTTCTTTTCCCCTTGGTTTTAATTGAAAAGTAGCTACTTAAGTATTCCGAAAACTCTTCCATGTTGGTCATTTGTGGATTTGGATGCCTCCAAATCTGGTCCTTATGTCCAGCATTCTAGCTTTAATGCTTGCCTTTCTATTAGGCCCAAGTATTGGCTAGTGTTTGACACAATCTTTAGTTCACTAGGGAAGGCTATGACCCAAGGACAAGTGTAAGCCTCACTTAACCTAAAGAGTGGAATAATCAAGTTTACCAGCCAACATGAACATTAAGATTAGAAAATGATCCAGATAACTTAAAACTAGGCCCTAATTTTGATAAAATTTTTATTAATCTGTGTAAACCCTTCAACAAGCAGTGTTTYCCATCAGTGGTTATAGTGAAACTGGAAACTGAGCACTGTTCTTTCCCCTGAACATCTAATGCAGCTTAGATGCATGTACAGAATTTTAATCATGTTTTGTTCTGTTCTTGGTTGGGGGAGACTAAAACAGCGAGCTTTTCCTCCTGCTCATTACCTAATGARCATTAAATTTTAAATGAAATTTTTTAAAAACTGAACTTTAAGTTGCATTCCTTCAATGAAGTATAAAGCACTGACAAAGAAGTAGATAGCAGCACAGAAATAAGCTTCAGCTTGTGCTTTTCTTGTGAAATAATTTACTTGTAATTATATTCATGCTGCTAGAAATATCACTTATCAATGCTATTCATGCTGTTTGAAATTGCTGAAAYTTCTGAGATTTTCAGAAGTCTTTTAAGTACCAAAATAATTTACTAAAAGGAGAAGAACATGATTTTTAAAAATATTAGGTGTTTCAGTCTCCATGAAAACAAACGAATCTCGCCCTATCTCAGTTCTTGTTTGCCTCTCTTTTTTTCCACATTTACGCATGAAAATGTGTTGAAGAAGTCTGCATCTTAGCCTTGTCAAAGATAAAAGAATATATATACATGTTATTCACTCWTTTAAACATGTTGAAAATGTTCATTATTGGTGTTGGAGTTTAGTCGAATAGTTCTGCTGTCTGTAAAACTCAAGAGAATACGAGGTATATTTTCACTGTGCTACATAAGGACTCATGTATTTACCCTCCTACACATTCAGACAAACTTTATGTCTTTCAGAAAGCTCTGGAAAGAAAGGAAATAAGATCGAGATTGTGTTGTTTTCCTCTCTTAAAATTGCAAATAGTGAAGTTTGCTTATACTGCTTTTCATGATGTTTTAAATCAGATTTATTCATAAAAATATTGACTTGTTATATTTTGCCATTGACTCAGTCACTGTAATGGAACATAATAGAAATATTATCTCCTCTAAAGGCCTAATATTTTTTCATTAAGTGAGTAATAGCACTGTAACTGCTAATATTTTTCTCTACGTTTCTTTCTTACAGCTGACATAAATGTGGATATATCAAAACCATTGAAGGCAAATCTCAGTTTTGTCAAACTTGATCAAATAAACCAGTTTTTGAAGAAAGTTGTAAACACAAATGATTATGAACCCAACAAGGAGGCTGCTAAATCAACTGCTGCTGCTACAAGCACGGATGCCACAACCAAACACTCCGGTACAAGGGATTTGCTGCCTGCAGTAAACGCTAACAGTGCCCCAAATATTTTGGGACAAGAAAACTGGTGGAGAGCTCTTTCCTGCTTCCAGAAAATTTCCATCCACACCGTTCAAATGGTCGTTTCCATGGAAACCATCCCGCATCCAAGTAAACCTTGTTTGCTAGTCTCTTTATCAAGCCTCAGTGGGAGCCTGAATATCAAAAGTGGACATAAAGCTACAGGTAAGCACTTTTGAAGGTTAGAAATGTTATTGATGCATTCTAATTGTGYTATAGGAGCTGCTTGAAGGCATGGGGAATAGCTAGCAAATAACTTGCAGAAAACAGCAAAGCCGTGACAGACTCAATTGCCTCAGTTTTCCTTTCAGTGAGGTAGCAGCAAAGGGTGCATCCATTTGTAGTTCATATCCCTTACCTTGTAATTCTTTATTCTTATGTTCTGCTAATGCAGCATATACTTTGCRATACAAAATTTTGTAACTCAGTAACTATCATTATGACCCAAAATTTATCATTATCACCATAAAAATTTCTCATTAAAAAAATGTTTGGAGACAAGATATAATGTAGGGTATAATGTAGACTACAATGTAGTTATTGGTTCAGACTGTTGTTCTACCTTCAGGCTTGTAAAGGCTTCAATTTTAACGTGCTTCCTCTGCACACCTGAGAGTCACACAGAGCAAATGAGACTTCCTGTCTCAACAACTCCTTCCATTACAGCAAAAATGTGAGAAATTTTACACCTTTGGTAGAATTAGCACAACACCAAATCAGCTCCTTTAAGATGGAGAAATTTTGAATAACTTGGTAAATAGTTTGACTGGTATTTTAATAGAATCACTGAGATGGTACGTTTGCATGGTTTGGAGGTGAGCCAGACCTAGGTACTTGGGAGAGAAGTGAGGGAGAAAATGCTCTGGAGCTGAGAGCTGTAGGCCAACCGAGGGGACGGGGGGTTTTTTCCACCAGAAATATGTCTCCTCAGGCCAGCAAGTCCAAGTGCTTCTTTATTGTTTTAAAAGCTGAAAACGAAAAATCTAAGGTTCATAGGACATGAAAGCTGCAACCCGAAACTCTTGATTTATCCTTAAAAAAGAGGGAGTACGGAGAGGAGCAGTGACTCCATTCCCACACTTTTCCCACCCCATCTCAATCCTAACATAGAGAGACCTGCAACTGAGCAAAGGGCCTTGGTAATACCCTTTAAATAGTTCTARTTCTGTGTGTGTGTCCTAATCCCGTCCCTTCCCATGGCTTTCCCTCACCATTGGCGCAGGATCCCCGCTGCGGCGCCTCGGCCGCGGGCTGCGCTGCGCCCAGGCCCGGGCGCTGTGCGTGGAGCGGCCTGGCGAGCGCCGCGGCGCAGGCCCTGCCCGCCCGCGGCCCCCGGAGCTTTTCCTCCCGTGTTTTCCCTGTGTTTTCCCTGTCACAAGCTGTGGCTGCGCCTTCCGTGCCCTTGTCGTCCCACCAGCGCTGCTGAGGAGAGCGGTGCTGGTGCCGAACCTGAGCGGAGTGGGAGTTAGTTATTCCACGTGACAAACTCGTGTAACCAGACAATAAATAGACCTCAGCAAACCCTTTTCACGTTTTCTCCAGTTAAAGTTGCCTTATCTTTCTGCTTTGTAAAAACAAAAACATATGCACTCGAGGGGCTGAACCCTAGCACGGCTGTACAAGAAATTGTTCTAAGTTTCAAGAAGTATGAAGGGCACTTCCACAAAACAGATTGAAACTGTATCGAAAATCCACTTAATACATTGGTTGTTTGTTTTTATTTATTAATTGATAGAAACCAAAGTGGAAAGTAGGAAGAAAGATAAATAACTCTCTGCGGGGAAATTGTTTTAATTGTGTTACAAAAGCTTAAAGGAAAAGAATGCCACATTTACTAACTAGATTTGTTTCATTATTGCAAAGAAATTATGCAAGCTAACTCAATTGAAAAATACGTRGTAGCTGTGTCCCGGGTTGTGGAAGCAAAGAATATTTAAATATGTCCATTCTTCACTATTATTCCAAAAAAAAAAAAAAATTATAGATATACCTTTTGAGCTGAACAGGGTTAATGTCAGATTTTTTATAGTATGAAACTAATACGCGAATGCTTCTCTGTGTCTTTGATTTTACAGTCATATAACTATTGTGACCATCTGCAGCAGCTGCATTTTACGAATTATTTGCTGAACCAAACTAAGCACAATGACAAAAGTAGTCATCTCAGATGTACTGTTAAAACAGAGGAAGAAAAAGGAGCATTGCTTGCCTTTTGTACAGTATGGCCATCTGCTGTACAGATGTTATTATATAGAATGACTTCAGATACAATAATTGTAGAAAATTTTCATTAAAACCTCAACAATTTGCACTTGTTTACTTGAATCTGCATAACTCCCCAGTGAGACAACACAATACGCTTGGGGTTTCTTTGGTTCTCACTAGCTTTCTCTTTGATCCTTTTTGATGTGCTGACTTTAATAAACATAGTTAAAAACACTGTTCAAAAACATCATGGAAAAAACTACAAAGGAATAATTATAGCAGTAGAAACTACTCTAATCCCWTACTTACACAAGCTATTTTTAGTGAAATATGTTTTTTTACACATTTTATGTGGCAGTGTTTTATAAACAGTGTAAACGACCCCTTTTCCAGATGAGTTTTAATGTAGTATATGAAGTTGCTTTGTAAGGAATCCTGTTTGCTAGGAATTATATTGAGAAAACCACTCGCAAGAATGTATTGTCGGCATTTCTCCTCCCTCACAGGGGGAAAAACAAAAGTGCGTGACCTCCCGTAATGCTTTGATTTTTTTTGCTGAAATTAAGAAGCTTGCTATAGAGCCTTTTATATAAATATGGTGTGTGTGTATATATATGTATATATAAAATTAAAAGTTTTTTAAAATTGCCAGTTTTCCCTCTAGACTTTCCTTTTAATCACGGAAGCTAAAGGCCTTCTGTTTTAGTTTTTCTCCACAATTTCTTATGAACGTAAAAAAAGTCATAGCTTCTGAAAAACCACATAACTAATTAGTTATTATTCATTTCACTTCTAACAAAATAAACTGCAAGTATTGATCACTCACGTTGCAGTTGGATCAACTTAAAAGACTCCATTTGTACTTACTCCGATGCAGTATTGTACAACCCCAAACTTTTAGCGTTTCTAGGGACTTCGCTTTTTGGACACCCTTTACATGTTAATACATCAGTGACTTATAACAACATGATTACTATTTCTGCTAAAATACTTATGTTCTCCTCTGCGCTTACGGTAAAATCCTGAGTATTTTGATTTTAGTAATGTAATACTGTTACAGAATGTAATGCAGTGTATTGTAAAGGGAAAAAAAACTCCCTCACAAGAAAGATATTTAATAATTTTAACCTAAAGAGGTTACAGGTATAGTTTTTCTGATACCCTTAAGGGCAAGGTTTCTAGTCAGATTCATGGTAAATACAGTAATTAATTGTAGCCACTTTATATGTTATGGTTTAGAGTTACGAGTTAATACTTGTACTGGATTAATACATGCAAATAATAAACATTTAGCCCACTTTTTGGCAGCTTATTTGTAGTGGTGACCGAATCCCCATCCCCAGATTGAGCTGTCTTTAGAAATAGGTCGCTGAGTTTGGTCTGCTGGAGTATGTGGCTTCTTCTAGAAAGTGTCCCACGTCCCTTGCAGGCACTAAGATTTGCAATTGCTCAGCCTCACGCTCGAGTAATGTAGCTTGCTCCAGAGCAGCTTCATGCCATTAAAGTCTGAATACTTTTTAGCAGTAAATACTAGGAAATAGAATGCACTTCTAAACATGCGACTTGCAGTTCATTCAGATTGGTGTTGAAATTAGCACTACCTACCTGCCAAAATAGCAGAGAAATGAGAGAAGTTAAGGACTGCACTCCCCCCCAGAGTGAGAGTCAGCAAGAAGCCTGGAGCCTCTCAGTGGAGCCTTATTTCGTTTGGCGTGGACACCGGAGGGGAGTCTTGCTGTTCAGTGTCCGAAGTTAGGGAGTTACATACACAAAATATGCCGAAAATCAGGCAGAATTTCCCAGCCCTTGTTCTTGTATACTAATATAATTACCTTAGCATATAAATAAGGCAAAAAAGTAAACACTAGTTGAGCCTGTGAAAATCACAAGTATTTTTAGTAACCTGAAAAGAAACGATGCACTCTAAGATACTTTATTGAAATAATAAAAATTAAATGTGGTTATTAATTGGTGCAGAGCAGAGACCAAGCTACAATTTGGAGTTAACCGACTCCCTTGAGAAAGCTCTGCTAAGGCGTTGTCATAGCCTTTGGATGCTGCAGATATGCGAGTTAGCCTATGGGGAAATAAAACATTAAATTAGATATGACTACCTAAAATAATATGCGGCAGTAACAAGCCATTTACAGCACCCAGAAGACCTCTGTTACTTTTAGAAAGAAATATAAACTCTTTCCAACACTTGAACAATAGGAAATTAATTCTTTGTCAGTAAAAGCCAGAGGACAAACTGAATATTTAAATGGCCACTGAGGATTGAGGTAGAAGTGCAGCTTGTAGACAGCTATACAAATCACGGACAAACCTTAATGAATATTGGGTGTGGGCATGAGGGTCCTGTCAGATTTGACACCATGTCCCAAGTAGCTTAAACCCAACACTCAAGAAAAGGTGGAGACCTCATCAGGTCTCTAACATCTGGGATTTTATTTGTCATTTTGGCATACCCTGCAAGCGCAAAAGAAAGAGTAAAAGGGGATTATCCTGACAATGAAATGAGTTACTGAATCTTGTGATAATGAAAAGCAGAAGAATTCTAATTCCTTTCTATAGTCCCTGAGGTGGAGGTGCGTTTATAGTTCTGCAGAAGTATAATGTAGGAGGGAAGAACAGATGGCCTAAAATCCATGAAACAAGACACCACCTAATCCCAGGACCGAGTACCACTATTAATCCTGGTCAGATTCCCTACTGGTACTTTGTAACAGGGCTCAGAATTGCTACTGATGAACTAGCATGTCAAATCGGGGCGGGGGGGGGAAGGGTTTGTTTAAATTTACTGTAGCTTGTTGATTCAGGACTTACTAAGCCCATGGAACTGTATTTAGGATTGAAAGAACTTCAGAAAGTAGATTTCAAATGAAATGCAATTAATAACAAAAGTTATTGTTTTTGTACTTTTATARTGCAAGTAATTGCATACTTTTTGAGACCTGAGA